TGCAGAATTTCATTATGGCCCAATATCAATTAAAAATAAATCTAGGTCACTGTCTCCACATATGCACAAATTCTACATTTTTTTCAAGAAATGTATCTGTAATGCATTCATTCTATATAATTCTCTGTAAATAAAAAAGGAAGGTTTCAAGGTACATACACAGCAAAGGGGAAAGAATAATTGTAATTTTCTTAGCACATATTTCTTATAAAAAAATAACACAAATACACCAAAGAAGCTAGAGAGGTATTTTATATCAAAACTTTGCATTGTGTACTAAGTAAAATTGGTACTTATTAACTTACAAAGATCATTTTTTAATGAAAAATGATAGAAAAATGTTCCCTTTTATTACAGGGATGTTATGTTGATTATTATTTCATTGTTTATTTCTTTTATTTAAATAGTTTTATTAGAAAATGGTGAAACAGAGAAATCAAGTGTGTACTTGACTTCATCATATGTCTAGCTCTGTGTCTGATCCAGGATTAAGATGTGATTTTGCTTGCCCTTTGACAGTCTTTTATATTTAGAATGGATTGAAACTTTCCCCTGGTAGATACTATCTGTTGATCTATTTCCGTTTGAGGAAAAGCAAATATTTAAATTCATATTCTCCATTCTAAGTGGCATATCTCTAGAGTATTTACATTGTGTTTCTTTATATTTGTTATTCTTTGTGAATTTCTGGCACAGCAAAATAATGTCTTCCCTCCTTTGACTGTCCACATTGTCTTACCCCGTCAGCAAAACAAATAAATTCTGTTTTCAAACAAGAACAAGACATCAATCTAATTCATTCTTTGACCTTCAGTTTCCCCTTGGCTATATGGGATTTGCGGTATCTAAGCAACCTCATCTCCAGTTTTTCATCACTGCAGCAATGACTCCGAAACATTGGGTGAAAAAACAGAGCCAGGAGACTGTCCAGAGCAAGGAAGGAAGGACCGTGTCTGTGAATTTGATAATTTGCCAGTTATTCCTTACCTGTGAAATACCTGAGATGATTTTATTCTAAAGCATAAGTCTTTCACTGCTAAACAGATATTATCTGATGAATCATTTTAACATGCATTTAGCCAGGCCTCATGCAGAGGACTTTTAAAACGAATTTTAAAATTGTTCTTCCAATTTCAGTTTCATTGATTATCTACAAATGTGAAGAGGAAAAAAAAAAGTGACTCTATCATGTGTGAAGTCAGTTTGAGAAGTGCGTGGTTCAAAAACAAATATTCCATCACATGATTTTAATTTTATATCTGCAGCTAGATATGTTTTATGGCATCTTGTTCTAGTTCCATGGTATCATTATAATATACTAAAGAAGCATATATTCTCTAACTATGTATATAAACGAAAATAAGTTTCTTATTCTAGAAAATTAGTCTATAAAAGTCTCAATTAGCTAAATATGCAGATACTTATGATAGCGGATATTGTCCTAATTTTGCCAGCTCAGGATAGTTCTAGGGCAGGAGTTCTGGGCTGTGGATAACCATTTCATGCTGAAGTGCTTATTTCCTACAACTGTGTCTTCTTCGGAAAGCTTTATCTAACCCCTAGACTATCGCATTAAGATGACATCTAATCTCTTTGCACAGCTACTTTATGACTAATATGAAATGAAATTTTAAAATTCAGAAATGATGCTATGTTAATATTCAAGTTCCCTTATGAGCCCACTATCTATTCTGAGTAACTCAGTTAAAAAGTAGTCACAGTTGCTTTAAAATAAACTTAGTACCATTTTGTATTAATTAGTCCCATCTTAATATGTTTAAGCCCTTCAGCAAGGAAAAACACCTAAAAGAAGGCAAAGTTCATCCATTTTAGATAGATACATACTATTTTGTTTATGATAGTGTTGATTTATCTAGAATGAGAGAGATGGGAAGAGAAGGGGGAATATTATCACATTGCAAGACAAGTGTTTTAGATGCTAGGAATATAGATATTTAAAAAAAATATGCCATCAGGGTGCTTAGATTTTAGTGTAAGGATAAAGAATGTGAAAGCTTCACCAAATAATAAATTCCAGGCCCTGTTCCAAACTGTGAAGAGGACTGTGAACTAAGAGAAATGGAATAGTTTTGCTGAAATGATCAATGAACACTGTTCTAAAGAAGCAAGCTTTAGGTTGAAACCAGCAACTTAAACCAACTTTCAGGAAAGGTTTGAAAACACGGAAAAAAAATTTGCAAAAAGAAAAATGTGGTATGTTTTCACAAGGAGACAAAGATACTGGAATATAAGGCATGAGAAACATGGTGAGGGAAAGGGAAGTGCAAGTTATCTCATTTTTTTAGGCATTTGACAAGTTTCATAATATGAATACTGTAAAGATCAAGTTCCTACAACCAAATAAATATTAAAATCAGTCTCATTCCCATTTTTACTGTGATTGTTGCAAACTGGTTAAGGTCATCATCTCAAACATTTTATTAGTAAATAAATCTGACCACCTGATTACCCTTAGTCTTTAATAATGACTTATTAAGGAATGTTCATACTTCTTCTAAGACTGTTGGGAGAAAACTCAGTATGTTTCCCATTTGACACTTCATTTTTTTTCTCAGATTTAATTATCATCCTGCTGGCTGCTGTGTTGTTCTCAAGTTAACTGAATTAAGTGGGAAATCTATAGATGCCTTTTAATAGCTACTTTTGCATGAGGTTGAATATTTTAATCTAAGCTCAGATGTTGGGCTATAAAGATGGTAATAGTTTTCTGGAAGTGGGATGCCCAGTTATTTAAATTTTGATATTTATAAATATTTCATCATAAGAGCACAATTTTGGTTTTCATCTGTAAGAATCCAAAGAATATCTAAAGAAGTGCAAAGTGAAGAGAATTATCCCAGTATAGTGTAAGTTCAAATACAGTAAAAGGAGATTTCTCAGTAACTTTACTAAAGAAAAGCTTTTTAACATGTACTTGTATCCTTTATAATACTGCCTTTTTTTTTAAAGACTGTGGAGAGAGAAACACGTTCATGAAAGAAATGAATGTCATAAAATGGCAAAGCGTTTAAGGATAGGTATAAACCAGTTGGTTCGCATTTCATTGTACATAACAGTTTGTTGAGTTGATTGTGCAAAATGCAGATTACCTAGAGCTGTCCTCAGAGTCAGCCACAACAACTGTAATTTCTTTGGCAAATGTTTCTGATACAGTATAATAGTACCCCTTTGAAAAATGTCAATTTTGTGTGAAAGAATATGTCCCATATGGAAGACATAATTGCTGCAAGAAGTATAGAGAAAATATATATATACTGAATTTCGAAAAAAAAAAAAGTTTAGTGAATGCTGTCAGAAACCCTGGGGCAAATATCAAGAATGGCATTAAAAAGAAAAGATATAGGAAGCATCTATCTGTGCCCTGCAGGCATCACCATCCAGTGTTATCATCAGCTCCCCTGTTGTGGTTTAAAACAGTAGCCTCTACAGCAGGAACAAAATAAGTCTGAAAAACAAGTCTAGGTCATACTTTTCAAACATTACAAACAAATTTTTCAGCTTGCCCTGTGACATAAATAGCCAAATCTCCCAGGTTCCTTCAGTATAGTGGGGTACTTACATGTTGCGATTGGTTATTATTTGGAAAATTACCGTATTGTTTATGATGCAGAAGCTCTCTGTGGGAGCTGGTTAGCAGCACGTGGGGAATGGTGTTGTTGCAGTAGTTATAGACTCTGACAAATGTTTTCTGCTGTAGAGTGAGGTCAACATAATCCCATCAAGTTTGTCTATCAAAAATAAACCTTCATTTCTACTTCACTGGTAGGTTCAGCAAATTTGGGTTCTATGAGCTCTATGAAGCATGAGAACATTGTGTTACCGATGTATCCTGGGATGCAATTCCATTTAGTATTCCTTTATAAATTTTCTACTTCTGAATTGGAGACTGGCATAATCTCTCCAAGTTCTCAAACAGGTTGTTGCATTTCAGGAAAACACATAGAGAAACACCACATTATCTCAACCATCTATATCCAGCTTTTCTTCTCTTTCCAAACTTGAATTATCACAATTCTATGTCTAGGCTGGTTTTTTTTTCTACTTTTAAAAGAGAACATATTTGTCTTTCTCTCTTTATTGTTTTACTTAATCTCCCACATCAGGTTCTACACATACATTATTTCATTAACTAAAGTTATCAGCTCCCTAATTTATTTAATAATCTGTCCTTGTAGATTTCTCATTCCTGTCATGCAAAATTGTCATCCTTTCTTTGAATTATTTGTTTGCTCATGCATATCAACGAGCTTGCTTAGGATCGTTTTCTTAATTCTCATTTAGCTTCTGCACAGATTTTCTTTGAATAAGATGTACTTTTGGGGGTATTTATAGTGTTTCTTTGGGAGAGCCATGGTTTTCTTTTTTGCTTCTACAAAAGCAAGAAGGAGGAAAGAAGTGTGCTGCTACCCTGAGATGCTGTATTAGAATCCTGCTCCTCTGCTCTGTCTCCAGTGTGAACCCAGCGTCAGTGTGGCCCACAGGATTCTGCATCAGGCAGTGTTGCCTGTGATTCTGGCTTTGACAGTCTAGTCCCACTTTCCTCTCCAGATCCGTGGTTTTCTCCAGTCCTCAGCATGGTGTTTCTGCTCACTGCTGTGTGATTGCACTGTCATCGCTTCTTCTTGGTATCTCTTCACTTTCTATCAATATCCACTGCAAACTTCGCTGAAACTTTCCCCTGGGAATTTATTTCCTCTGCCTTTGTTTTGCTGTCTTCCCCTAGTCAAAATCAACACAATTTTTCTTCAGTCAGCCCTCTTGGTTCTGCAATTCTCTTTTTTTTTTAGTTTGAGTGTATCTCAGTTCAACTTCAGGTACAAAAATAACTAGCAAATTGCATTAGGCTATAAATTTTGAAATCTACATATTACTACTAGTGGCTCATATATATTCTGGTGATGTGAAATATGTTACTGTCAATTTCTTGTTAGCTGTTAGCAACACAGTTGAGCTAACCTCCCTGATTTTTTTTTTTCCAGGAAGAATTGAATCCCATCATTGTTACCCCACCTATCCAAGCTGTTGATCAAGACCGGAATATTCAACCACCATCAGATAGACCAGGCATCCTGTATTCCATCCTTGTTGGTTTGTATCTGCTAACATTTTACATCAGTTATTTCTCTAGAATAGCAAGAAAAAAAAAAGATTTTGCTTTCATCAAAGGATACCCTTTACAACAAAAAGTTCTTACTGTGAAAGATTGTTATGTGTAAAGTAATAATACCAATTTTAATGTTTAATGCAACTTGTTTCAACTAAATCTGTAGAGTACTATAAAAAGTGTTTTATGGAAGAAGCAAAAACAGCTTAAAATAAGAAGGTATTAGTCTTCATGCTAACTAACAGTTTCTTCTAGATAAACTTATAAGTAGTTCCCTATGAATGAAGCTAAAAATCAAGTGAAAAACTTATGTTACATACTCTGCCAGTAATTTGTCATTGATTGGAGAGAATACACAATCCCGATAACATATGACTAAATTAAAAAGGCCATTTTGCAGCCATGTGGGAGAAGGAAATGCATCATAATTAGTCCTAGGGCACAGATGTATTTTCCCCTGGTTACTTTTTCCTTGAAGAAGAAAAAAACTACAGAAGCTGTCCTAATGTATCTATAAGCATATGCTGCTAATTTTATCAAAAGCAGAAATGATGAGAACTTTATTATGTTGTCTCAAATTGCTTTTGCTAAAATATGAATGTTGCAAATTTGCATGGCTTATAGCCTTGAGAGAGACAGATGCGTGTGAGACAGATGATGCGTCATATAATGGAAAAAAAGGCCAGTTTGAAGAGTGCTCGAAAGATAGCTTCAATTTAATTCTGTATTATCCCTCAGCCCTTTTCTGTCTTGCCTTCAGCTTGTGTACATGTCCACATATACAACAACTAACAGATGTTAGTTTCTAAACTATTATACTGTGTTGTAATTAGTCATGTTCTCTGCATAGAAAGTTGAATTCTCCAGAGTCCTGTCTTTAGAATGGCACACATAAGCCAGTTGCAAAAAAGGGTAAAATTTTTAAATGCTTTTGTAAAAATAAATCTCTTTTAGTCTATGGACTTCTTGGCATAAAAGACAAGAAATATTCACAATTCAATGTATTAACTGAAAGCTTACTGATAATCACTGCGTTAGTTGCTAGAGAGAAAAAGAGATAAAAATGTTGCATATTTGAGAGAAGTGGTTCATCACTAGAAGGATGCTGAAAGAAAATGTTTCTTTCAGGACACACATTTGGCATAGCTGCTGATGCTGCTTGGGCCAAAATTGTCCTGTTCTAGATGCTTGGGTTCAAGCATGGGAACCAGGACCAGGTCCAACTTCATGCCAGCCTTTACAAACTGAAGCAATAGATGTTGGTTCCTACTTTCAGAGGCTCTTCTGGTACCCATGTGGAAGATACTAAGTGCATTGACTGCTCCTGATTTTAGACAACCTCTTGCCTGGCTTTTGCAGGCATTTGGGGGCTACAACAGTGCACACATGTTTCATCTCTTTACTTCTTTTATATATGTGTGTGTGAGTGCTTATGTATGTATGTGTGTGTATGTGTGTATCTATACATGTGTCTTAATCTCTATTTTTCAGATTGGTAATTTTAAGAAATATAAGATTTAAGGCACTGTGACTAAAAATTGAGCCATGTGATTTCAAAGCAAGTGAGAACATTGAACAATCTGTGAGAATTGTTTAGAAAGAGACATTACAGAAGAAAGCTATCTCTCAGTGGAAATGGAAGAAAAAATTCCAAAACTGTGCAGAATGTGCAAAAGCCAAATGATAAAATATAAGTGTAGAACTGGGCAACCATGCTATCCAGAATAGAATTACATACACTGACGTTCATAACATACAATGTATTATTTTAGCTTTAAAAGTTATGTTCATTCTTGCATAAAATGAGTAAACATTGTATAGAACAAGTTATAGTCTTGAACATGTGAAGTTGGTTTTCTGGCATGGGAAGCAGACAACGAATGAATAATATACCAATCATTTCTTCTGGAGGATAGAATATTAATATTATGGAAAGTGGGTAACAGGAGTATGTTGTAAGTTTCACATGTTACAAGTATTACAAAAAGCAGGAAGAAGGAGTAATCAAATGTGAAGAGAAGATTGGCTAAGATGATCATATCTAAGCAACATAGAGAAAGCAAAATAAAAGAAACTAATGTAATCCCATTGTTGTAACAATAGATGCATAATGGGAAGTTCCTGAAGGAAACGAAACATGAGGGGAAAACATATAAATTAGAAATGATTAAAACACTCTGCATATGAATAAACATTATTCTGTAATTCCAATTATCTCAACTCTAATTATGATAATCTCAAAAAGACTCATACACATCCCAATAAAACTGCTAAACGAAACAGCCAGTTTTAGAAGAGCAAAGTGAAAAGGAGTATTGTTGTGCATACAGTTGATCCAAAATAAAATTATACTAATTTCTCACAAGAAACCAACAATGTGAGAAGGCAAGCAGAGTGTAGATTTAAAATTTAAAAAAAAAAGAAACTGTCAGTGATTCTTCTTATTTTTTTATATTTATTTTTATTGCAAAGTTAGATTTACAAAGAGAAGGAGAGACAGAAAGATCTTAAATCCACTGATTTACTCCCCAAGTGGCCACAATGACTGGAACTGAACTGAACCAGAGCCAGAAGCCTCCTCTGGGTCTCCCACATGGGTGCAGGATTCCAAGGCTTTGAGCTGCCTTCCAGTGCCTTCCCAGGCCACAAGCAGGGAGCTGGAAAGGAATCAGAGCAGCGGGGACATGAACTGGCATGTGCAAAGCAAGAGCTTTAGCCACTAGACTACCACAGCAGGCCAGCAACAATTATTTATGTAACAATTTTTTTCCATCAAAAATAAATTAGAATTTCTCTTCTGTGTCTGAGGCACTGTTGTCCTCTCTGCCATTGTCCATACCCACAATGATGGACTTATGACTATTTATAAAGAACTGTACCATTGTAATAATATAGGGGAACTCGGTGGGGGAAGACTTGGGAGGTGTCAGGGAAATCCCAGAGATTTATGGAACTCTATCATAAAACAATAATGATAATAATAATAGAAAAATGAAAAAAATGCGGAGGTCTATATAAAGAGACAAGGTAGAACAGAATAGCACAGATTTCCCCAGAATTTTTGGCTCACCGACCTTTAGCTGGCACGTTGAAAGTACTTCTTGACCTCCATAATTGCCTGAAGTAATTTCCATAAACAATATTTCTTGTTCTCACTGTTCTTCTCCTAGAAATGCCTTATTGACAAGGAAGAACCACTGAGAGACTGAAATACATTTAAATCAGCCTAATGAGAAAAAAGGAAGTACTTTTAGCAATAATAGAGTTTCAGTGTTTTGTAATTTTGTCACTGCTTAAAGAACAGGTATGAATAGCACATAACCTGAAGAATACGTGACATAACTTTTCAGGGTATGAGAATCCCTAGAAGGGATTTGAAGTGTTAAAGTGTTTGTTGAATTGTCAAACATCAGATAATTACAGCTAACATTAAAAAATACTGTTCCTTTAAAAACAAAGTTACAGAGGATGGCAAAGAGGATTTTCAGTGTTATAGCTCATTCCCCAAATAGCCACAGCAGCAAGGACTGGGCCGGGCTGACGCTAGGAGCCAGAATTACTATCCTGATCACGCACAGATGTAGCAGAGGCTGAAAACTTGGGCCACATTGTGCTGTTATTTTCAAGCACATCAGCAGCGAACTGTGTTGGGTATGAACCTGAAACTGCGTGGAATTCTGATGTCAGTTGGTAGCTTGAATCATTAGGCCCAAATGCTTGCCCCAAGTCTAGTATCTTGAAGTACAATTAAAAGAAAAATTCAGATATTGGGGTGATTTCATAGTTATAATATTTTAAATTAGAAAATGAAGTTTCTCATTCATTAGACATGACTTGGTAACTGAGTTGATTTGTGGTATGTAAAAATAGGACAAAGGTATGTGGATAAAGGGCACAGAAGAAAATTAAGAAACTGGTAAGAAAACATTAAATTTAAGAATAATGCAATAGGAACCTGGCGAGGTGGCCTAGTAGCTGAAGTCCTCGCCTTGAATGCTCTGGGATCCCATATGGGTTCCCGTTCTAATCTTGTCAGTCCCACATCCCATCCAGCTCCAGGTCTGTGGCCTGGGAAAGCAGTTGAGGATGGCCCAAAGCCTTTTTACCCTATACCCACGTGGGAGACGTGGAGTAGGTTCCTGCCTCCTGGCTTCGGGTCTGCACAGTACTGACCATTATGATCACTTGGGGAATGAATCAGTGGACAGAAGGTCTTCCTCTTTCTTCTTTGTCTCTGTATATGTGACTTTGTAATAAAAATAAATAAATCTTAAAAAAGGAATAATACAATAGCATAGTGAGCCAATAGACGTAATGCTTACCATATATACCTGAACATGGAATAATTTGTTGCAAACAACAATGTGACTTTACAACATAGAAAATGAAGTCAAACTTATAGGCAACATTTATACATAAAATATGAAACAAGTAAAAAGGCAGGGTAGGGGGTGTTAATACAATTAACCATGAAACTGAATATGGTAGTGGCTAGACAGAGCAAACATGTATTTTAGATATATTTTGGAAGAAGCAAAGTTTTTGGATGGATTAAGCATTATTAAGGGGAATAAATAACACAGTTTGCAAAGGACATAAGTAAATCTTGAAGAGGCTTCCAACCTAGTATACATTTCTATTTTTAAATAGTGCTTTTGTACTTGAATCCATTGGTTTATGCGGAGCAGTAATCACGCAGCATCTTGTGCAGCTCAGTTAGGCATTATAATTGGCTTTGTTTCTACAATGGAATTGGGAGTGTATTTGCTAGTAACATTTGACTTGATCTGGTTATGAATTCGTGCATATTTACAATGTCAAAATCTGAAAAAAAAAAACAACCAAAGAATTTTTGCATCAAATAGTAGACTTTTTTGGTGTATTTTTGAAATCCACATTTCTGAAACCTCTGCAAAACATTGTAGAGAGGCATATTATGAAAAATCTCTGCATGGATTTTAATTATTTTGTAGTCTATACTTTATGTACTCCTAGCCCTCAGTAGAAATCTCTAAATTTTTAAGACACAGAAAGATGAAGTACGCTTATATTTCTTCTTTATTCAGATAAATTTATTTTTAAGACAAGAGTTTCACTTTTTCTGTTAATATTTTATGGAATCCTGTCCAAAGATAATCTCTACCAACAGATAGCCACTGAATTTCATATTCCTAATTCCTGTAACAAACCTGGGTTCTAGAATATACAGTCTGGGTTCTGTGTATGTAAGAAACACGTATCTTGCATTTGATAGTTTTCCGTATAACTTGCACCGAGTCATGAATAAGTGGATTTTCTCATTATGGATCTATTCCATCTGGTAGTAGTTGTAAAAGATAAAAATAGTTTCATAGTTTCCCAGTTTGAAATCTATCTGTGTGAGTTTAGAATATTTTGCCAATATCTGAGTGTGTGTTTCTTCATTGATCATGCAATACTACCTGCTATACAATGGATGTTCTGACATGTGGATGATAAAAAAAAATTCAAAGTTAAGAGATTTCTCAGCTTTCTGCATGTTTCCTGAGTTAATATTTAACATGTGTTAATATCTGGGAACTTAAAATTTTCTTCTCATATAAAATGCAATAATTCAGTTATGTTCCATATTCATGGTCTGTCATGCCATGCATCAGGCACCATCTTGCTCTAATGAGAGCTATCAAAGAACAAAACATAAAGCCAAATCTAAATTATATTGCAGTTTTACATTCTAGATGTATTAAATGAAATAGGTTTTAATAGGTAAATGTCCATTGAATGCCACTTGGCTTCAAGAATTATTAATACTTGACAGAAGTTTATTTTGTATATTATTCTAGCCATCTCATCCAAGATTATTTTGAAGAAAAGTCTAATTTATTTCTAATTCACAATTATTCTGTAAAAGTATAAAATAATTATTCCTGCAATATTGAGGCATATCAGCCATAGAAACAGCAACCATTCTTAAATATTCTTTAATATTCCATATGGAAGCCAATTCATGATCTGGCTGTCCCATTTCCAATACCACTCCCTGACAATAGCCTGGGAAGAACAATGAAAGATTATCTAAGTGTTTTGGTCCCTATTAAATGCATGAGAAACTTGTATGAAGCTTAAGTTACTGGTTTTGGCCTGGCCCAGCCCTGACTCTTGTGATCAGCAGATTGAAAAATATTCGATCTCTTTCCCTCTATGTGTGTGTGAGAGAAAGAGACTCTGTTTAACTTTCAGAATAAATAAATTTCTCTTTAAAAAGACATTGACTTTCTTTTACTGTGAACTATCTGTTCATTCCAACTGTGGTGTTGACTATTGATTTTTAAATCTATTTTAGCAGCATAATTTTTTTGTGTGTGTTTTTTAAAAAGCACATGAAAACGTGCTTTTAAATGCTAGATGTGGAGTTAAGGAATTTCCTCATTTAGGGACACATTTGAGGCTGACAGCATGAATTTGAATTCAAACTTTTACATTGCGTCTTTGATTTAGATAAGCTTTAAAATTTCCCAAATGTTCAATGTTCATCTTTAAAATTATTTTTTGAGTTTGTTGATTGTTAATCACAAAGTGGTTAGTACAGAGGAGAGTTCAAGAGTTACAATTTTTTGTAATTGAGTGATATTCCCACTTGTATAGGATCCCAAGGCTTGGGCCGACCTCGACTGCTTTCCAAGGCCACAAGCAGGGAGCTGGATGGGAAGTGGAGCTGCCAGGACACGAGCCACTGCCCTTGTGGTATCCTGGCTCATGCAAGGTGAAGATTGAGCCACCGAGCCATTGTGCTGATCCAAATGATACTGTTTTGTAGTTACATATGCTATGCCATATTTAAATATATATGTAGATATATGTAGTTATATGTATCTATAAATAATTTATTTGTCTTCTACCATTTTCCAAAGTAAACACTTCAAATTAAACATTTTGTGAAAGAATACAAAAGAAAATGATACTGAAACACTTCAACAAGAAAAAAATGATTTATTAAAATGCCAGCTTTTAAGGAGTTTCCTCTTAGGTTCTTAAGATTATCAGCAAAACCAGGGAGTGACACAGTAGCATTTCAAGCTACTCATCTGTGCGTGGTGCCAGCATCCCTTATGAGCATCAGTTCATGTTCTAGCTGTTCCGTTTCCAATCCAGATCCCTGCTTATGGCCTAAGACAGCAGCAAAGATTGGATCAAAGTCTTGGGCCCCGTACCCAAATGGGAGACCTGGAAGAAACCCCTCGCTCCTGATGAGCTCAGCTCTTGCCATTGCAGCCATTTAGGGAGTAAATCGGTGATTGAAGATCTCTTTCTCTCTTTCTTTCTGTAAAATCTTTCTTTTAAATTAAAACAAATGTTTACATGAATAAACCAAACATTATAAGAAAAAAAACTTGTTTTAATTGACCAATATTGACAGTTATTTGGATAATCAACTTTAAAATACATTTACCCTGATGAAAATAATATTAATTTCTAAGCTTACAAATATTTGATATATGATGCTGCTTGTTAGATTTAGGATGTGTTGAAAGACTTCATGTTATAGTTAATTTTGTATGTACATTCAGAATGCAATGTTATAAGCCCAAATTTCTTTTCCCTTTACTTAGCATTTTTCATGTAATGAGATTTCAAATCAATTAGAGCTCTGTCTCCCTCTTTCTGTCTCTATACATAAATATGTATTTATGTGTATATATATATGCATATATATTTGGAAAATCATTTAAACAAATGTTTCATTCTCTTATACATAAGCTAATAATAATTTGCCACATTTGTGTCTGTTTTCCCTAGACTAAATAATTTTGAAACTTAATTTACTAATGATATTGTAATTTTGTTGTTGAGTTAATGAAGGGAAATGGATAAAGCAGATACACATGCAACTTTTTGTTCTCAATTATGCCCTGAAAACTTAATGTCTTTCAGGGACTCCTGAGGATTACCCACGATTTTTCCATATGCATCCCAGGACGGCAGAACTCAGTCTCCTGGAGCCAGTCAACAGAGACCTTCATCAGAAATTTGATTTAGTTATTAAGGTAAATTAAACTAATATCTTATTTCCTTGTGTTTGTGAATCGCTAATCAAAGGAACATGTAAAGGCCTACAGTAGGTTTTAGATAGCAAGAGTGATGTGGAAAACAGTTGTCCAGTTTTATTTAAAGAAAAACAAATAAAACGTAGTTTTCACCTGCTTTTTTCTCTAAGATAATTTTATAGTATAATAAGATACTAAAATTTTGGGTAACATGTGCCCTGGTTAGTGTATTTTATATGCATGACATAATTTTTTGCATATTCCAGCTGTAATTTTTCACCTAAAGAGATGTTTTGACCCTAGAAGCAGAACTAACAGATATATGTAAAAAGTACTTATTATTTTCTATTTTAACCATGTATTTTTGTGTCCTGCTGCTTTTACTAACATAAAAAGGGAGGATTGGCTTATGTAGATTTTTAAAATACAGATGTCATTTTCTTTGTGCTGGATTATCACGCTAGATCTAGAAAATGTTCAAAGTTAGAGTAACCTTTTTGGCATCATACTACTTGTTCAATGATATCTAATAGATTGTAATGATACCAGGCAAAATATACTGCAAAAATCCAAATGATCTTAAAGCTAATTCTGATGAAACCCATTAATAACATGAGATTTTAAGCTGAACAAGAACGGAAAGCAGATGTATATGGCAAATGATGACAAGAGAATATTATCATTAAAACAAGGTCACTTAGCTAAGTCTAGCATGTATTGTTTTACATTTCCCATTCACAGTATAAATAGCTAACAATTGAAGTGCATTCCCACAGTATTTTTTTTTTAATAAAATTAGTAAAGGACAAGGAAGCAAGATAGGGACAGTTAGGAAGCTGCTTAGGCAAGCTGCTTTGTGTACTTCTTCCATGGAATAGTTACCACAGCCTTAGTAGCTATCTGGTTTAATGTACAGAATGTGGACATCAAATCTCAGCTGCAGGAGAGAGTTCACTCTGAGTTACAGAAAGGGAAAAATTGAGCTTGCCATTTTGCTTTATCTAAGCTAAAGTCATTTTCTTGTGTCATATGTAGGCAGTTGCAAAGAGTTGGGTATCTGTTTTAACTGTCTTTAAGCCCAAATGAAAGCAAAAAGTTTTGGCTTCATGATGAGTAACTCTGAGTACCTTTTTTATAGTACACGTATCAGAATTTATGCTTATGTAGTGGCCTCTGTGTTGGAATGTATATAGTCGATAAGAAGTGATATAAATAATAGTCAAATGTAACACAGCAACTGTTAATAGGAAGATATGTAAAATATGCTAACAAAGCACAGGATAGAGACCATTAACCAGGGGACTTAGTGCAGATTCTCTGGGGATTACCCCAAGCTAAGTTTTGATAGATCCAAAGAGTGATAGAAATTTTCTTGAACATAAGGAAGAGCAGAAGTAAAACCCTGGAGCCGTAAGTAGCAAGTTACAGTTAACGGAAAATGAGATAGTCAGACCATGGAGACAGCCTTACGGATCAATGCAATTTCCTTGGCTTTTATTCAATGAGAGCTTGGTGTCATTCAATAAAGTTACCTTAGTGTTATGCTTTGTATAAAAAGACTAGGCATGAGATTCATCTTCTTGTGTTGACTATTTTAATTATCACAGAACACTCTAAAATGGGTAACCATTGTCTATTATAATTCTACCTGGAGCCCTACAGTGATGCTCTCTGTGGAGTTAAATAATAATAATAATAATAATAAATACACTGTTCCAGATTGCTACATTGGAAGCCAGAAATCAATAAGTTAGCTTTATTACAAGGTGTGCTGTCATAGTACACCTGCATACAGTATAACTCAATCTATTGATTTTGCAAAAAATCAATTACAACTAGCCAGAGATAATTTTTTTATGTTTAATGACATATTATACCATTGATAAAAGTGTTTACAGGAATTATTAGATTCAAATTACTGCTTTTTCAGACAAGGGAATAATGAGCAAAGATATCAATCTATAAAGGTAATGATATGCCACCTGTTATTAATAGCTGAGTATTGTACCATTGTTCAAAGTTTATTGAAATGCTACTGTCTTGCAGTGCTTCTCTGTAGTAAGCCTTTCAATTCCTTTTTTTTCATATTTTGATGCTTCAATTTTTTCATTTCATATTTCATAAGTTCTGGTTGGACTTGATCCCAATTTCTGTTTTAGAAGTTGTTGAAAAGAAAAAGTCTAACTAAATACTACCCCTGGAAAATTTATGTTTGGAAAATTATTTTTTTCATATAGTAGCTGCTGGGTTGTTAGAATAAAAGTATTACCATTTAATTAATTCCTATGTATGCCAGCGAATTATTCAGGATACTGACAAAAATGGAGAGGTAACAAAGTAGACTCATTCATTAATATTGGAATAATAAATGATTAGAAATACACCAATTTAAAATAAATGTTCCTTTTTGGCACACTGTCTTAAATCTTAAATATTGGTATCTGTGGTAGCATACACATTGAGATATGTGTTCTGAACTAGAACCATATATTTTTACAAGACAGTTCATCATTGTCATTGAGTAATTATTCATGATGTCTCTTTTGCTCTCCTTAGTGCCTCAGTTTAGATTGTAATATATGTGATCCCTACATGCATAAAACATAAAAACAAATATGAGGTAGAAATAGAACATTTGAGATACCAAATGATATTTTGATAGTATGTATAGCCTCTGCAGAAAGAAAATACATTATTATTATAATCGTAGTAGCTTTTTGAAGATTTATTTTGTTTGAAATGCAGAGTTACAGAGAATAGAGACAGGGGTCTTCCATTCATTAGTTCACTCCCCAAATGACTACAAAGACTGGAGCTGAACCAATTCAAAGCCCAAATCCAGGAACTTCTTCCAGCTTTCCCACAGGAGTCCAAGGACTTGAGACATTTTCAATTATGTTCCCAGTCTGTAAGCAAGGAACTGGATAAAACCTGGACAGCCAGAATGTGAACCTGCACCTAAATGGGTTGCTGGTGCCACAAGCAGAGGCTTAAACTACAACTTCACAGTGCCAGTCCCAGCTGCAGTAGTTTTCATGTATTAGTAAATTCATACTCCAGGCATTGAATAAAAAACTGCTAAACTTTAAGTATTATAACAGATTAAATAGATACGTTAATAATTAAATGCCTCTCAGTACCTCAAGGAGTAGTTGTAATATTTTGTGTTTAAATCCTTTTGAATCACAACTTTGATTAACCTTTGATTCAGTAAGGTTTGCTTGAACATCACAAGCATCATTGTATCATGGCTCCTCCAAATTTGATGTTATCAGTGACCAACTTACGCTGTGTGGCATTCTACCCTTACCTTGTTTCACTTTGAAGTCGTAGACATGTCAACCCCAAATTCCCTCCAGTCACTGCACACTCTGTGCTATATCCACATTGCGTCCAGTGCTTGATCACTCTAGCGTGTTGGCAATTTCAGATGCTGTTCCCCTTCCTTCATCATTCCTTTTTTCTTTAGTGAGTGCTCTACTTCACTTTGGTGTTTTGGTTTTAGCACAGACACTCTTCTTTGGAAAGGCTTTGTCACAGGATGAAAGTCATTCCATGTACTATGTTCATCCATCCAATGATCCTCATCATTTCACAGGAATTTGCATATTTTGTCTTTCCCTGATTTTTAAAGGAAAAAACTGCAATATAGTTTCATTCTGTTGTTACCTTTCCTTCCAACCTTATCTTCACACATCACATAGACAGTAGTCTATAAATATGTGAAAACTAGCATGCTGGAAAGTGAGGATATGTTGCTGTATGCATCTCTACTCCTGAACAATAGGAAGATTCACAATGAAATTGTTAAATACATCTTGGGAGAAAGATATGAGACTTTCAACCATTGCCTATACCTGTAATGCCATGATACACTTAAATAGCAGAACATTGGACTGGTGACTACTGTAATAATATGGGGTAACTGGGAGGGGCAGAAAGGAGAATCCCTGTGCCTATGAATCATATCATGAAAAAATTTAAAAATATAAAGAATATGTGGGCATCCAAATCTTAATGTCAATGAGATATGTATATTTGAAAATGCCTGTAATTGATAAATTTTGAGTGTTTGTCTAGAAAATTAAAAATGCAGAAAATTCCAAAATAAATCTAATCTCTGGATTAAAGGATAAAATGCCGTGCCTATGTTAAGGCATACTTAAATGTATAGCTGTATCAAGAAGTTGCACTTATTAGGGATTATATGTGTACTAACACTGAAAATGAGTGATAAATTTGAAGCTTATGAGTATTATTAGTGCTCATCTGCCAGTTCTGCTGGCAAAATGCATTGCTGTATTAATTTGAGAATCACAAGAAAACATCATTTGAGAAATGACTCTGGCATAGAACAACAACTATTCTAAGTCTCTAGAATCCCTTGATTTTACATGAATGTCTGAAGCCACAACTCCTGGAAATTAGTAGGCTTTATATGATTAATGATATCAATTATAGTTCAAAAGAACTCAGTGGAAAGAATCCAGATTTGTACATTTTAAAAGCATATGGCATTGGCTTCTTTCCAATTTGCCAGATCTCTTTAAAGTGCTTGCTAAATGCTTGGCATTTGTTTCATGTTGTCAAGACAAACATGTACATAAGCCCTGTCTCAAGGTAATCAGATGTGGGCAAATTCCTTTTCTGATAACAACCTTTATATTTTCAATCCTTGCTTGGATAAATGTTTCTAATATTATCCCATTAAAATAAATAAAAGTGGTTGGCTGTATGCTGCCTTTTAAAATGTCAAGTGTATGCCTTTGTCCTCTTTTTTCAAATAGCACGTTGTAATTGGTTACTCAGTCCAAGTATTTTAGTCCTTTGTGGGTCCTTTCCTACATGTTTCCATCTAGTCATTTATAAAATTCTATCTATTTCATTGTGAAGTTTCTATGGAATGACTTGCCAACTTTCCATGCAGAAGGTACACAATTCTCTAGCTTGTATTTCACATAAGTGACCTCTTAGACCATAGGATTTGTTTTTCTCTGCAT